TAGCACGTCTGTATTTTCTCCTTGCAATTTAGTGATAAAAAGCACAGTGAATGTACCTTTTCACTTTTTGAAGTACACATAACACTCGGATTTAAATCCGAGGTTTTCGCATTTATTTATGTCTATTTACATTATGTACAGTTTTTTTTCTATTGTGGATAAGTATATTGATATGATTTTTCTATATGGGCAAACTAAACATACGTTTTGCATTGCCGTTAGCAATACGAATGATGGCTGATGCATTTTTCCCTGGTGCTCGAAGAACATCTTCTAGCCATTTAGAAACAATAAATATGCCAGTAGAGGGATTAAACTCACGTACAGGAAGATTTTTTGGACAAAGCCACGGACAATCTGTCTCTAAAACAACGTGCTCGAGAAGTGTGGGATGATTTCGGATCCATTTTTTGAATACTTTGTCCTGATCTATATCTCGAATGTGTGTACTCGCTCCGTTCAAAGACACGACGGAGTTGGGGAAGATCGAGATAAAACGATCGATTACTTCCAAATGACAGTCTGATTTTATACAATGCCACTGAATAGGGTGGCATGAAGGTAGAATAGATTCTATGCAATCAAGCATTGGAGTAAAAAGAGAATAACCACGGCAATGGAGAACTAACGGCAAATTTAAATTTCTTGCTAAAAGTACTTGCCGTTCAAAAGCTAATTTTTGGTAATCTAATGGAGATTTACTTGTTTCATCCAATCCTGTTTCACCTACACCGACAATATGTCGCCCTGATACGGGATGCAAGTTGTTATGAAAAATGCTTTCTAGATGAAAAAGTTTTAAGTGTATATCTCGTTCAGGAAGGAACTTCGGATGCATCCCAAACGTTTCATAAACATGTAAGTTTTGATATGGTAATGGAAAGACTGTGTCCCAGTTATGAAATTTATGTTTATTCGATATCAGAAAAACTTCCCGAATACAAGAAGCAGATACTGATTGAAAGTAGGCATAGTTTTTAGAGAAATCGTCGAAGTGGCAATGTGAATCAACAATAGGTAACTGTTTGAATAAATGAGTATGTAGGGGGCATTGACATGACTCGTAAAGACTTTTGAAGCAGAGTTGTGGATTCATTATGAGTGGCTAGAAAAAAAGAAGAAAAAAAATCAATCTTTTAAACGCAATTAAGTTAGCAATGTGGTTTCTTATAAAAAGATTTAAAAAGAAGGTAAATCTCACACTAAATTACTCAGAAAAGTAATTAATAAAAAACATCTTCATGTGAACAAATTTATTCTCGTCATGGTGTTATAAAAAAAATGGAAAAAAAACAATTAAGAATTTTCTTTTTCATTGGAGACTAGACGTTCTGTTTTCTCTTTTTCTTAGCTTTACAACAAAAAAAAAAAAGAAAAACATTCTAAGTAGAATTAAAACTTTACCAGAAGAAATTAATAGCACACAATATTAATAATATATTAGGTTGAGTAATGTTAATATAATTGATTCAATAACCGATCAAATTTAATCACAACAATTTCTAAAAATAAAAAAATATACTTTGATTATAAACATGTACTGCAATATCGATATACATAAAAATAAGACTATCACATCGAAATGAATTTTTTTTCAACGAACAAAACTTCGAATAAGAAAAATCGCCTTAAATGTTCTAAACCATTGAATTCCTTTCAAAGAAAAGTCAACCTGAAAAAATCTATTCAAGGTTTTTCAAGTAAAGATAATCTGGCCTGTCAAGCCCTTTCCCCGTTTATTAACTTGTTAAGACAGATGATGAACTTGTGAATATCTTTCTTATTCACATCGATATAAATGGACCTGAGAAATAATATTCATTATGTAACATTTTTTAAGAGGCTAGATTTTTATTTATATTATCCTCTTTACAAGTCATAGTTGATGATCGAACAGTTTAAATGAAAGCATGTTGACAACGAGTGCTGATGTATTCAATCGTTCTTATTTATGTCGAATTTCTTTTTCTAAGGAAAGTATCTTATACCTATTCTAAATATAAATAAACTTAAAAAGAAATGATTGGCAACACTGATATAGATTGAACGTCTCTTTCTCGTTTGATATAGATGATATACTAAATTATAGATGCGATTAAGAGAATTAACCAACAACAACTATGGAAAAATTATTCTTGTAAATAAAGTATTGCATTTCAATATTATTATTTTTTTTTTTGTATTTAAGACTTTTAGAACAAATTCAATTAAATGAAAAGCGTTTAAACTTGTTAAACATCAGAAAATCATGAGATACCTAAAGTTTTAGCAAGTATTGTATGTGGATTGACTTTAAATTGAAATGAAGATGAATGATCGTCAATGAGAACAATTTTGAATATATCTGAAATAAAATTAAGATAATATCAATTTGAATATGTGTCTAAATGATATATTTGTTTGATGAACAAAAAGTAGTCCAAGTCATATAAACATGCGCAAGCTCGTCAATGGTTCTTTTCTCTCTAGCTTAACGGTCGAAGTGAAAAGAATGTATGCGATAGACTGTCGTTGTCATGTGAAACAATGACGTCTGGCACGCGCATCGTCATGTCTTTTTCTTTTCAACCGTATAAGTTGATCTCTCAATTATTTGATATTCGAAATTTTGTATTCAAGTCTAATCGTATAGTTTCGATTGTTTGATAATGTCTGAAGGTCAACAAGAGGAGCAAAACCAAGGTCAGGATTCAATCATCGAATCCTCAGCTTCAACCCAAACTGAAAAAAAGAAGCAATTATTGTCGTCAAATATGAAAAAGAAAAAATGTCATAACAGCAATTATCGCTCATGGTCGAACAGAAGTAAACAAAACAACAGAACATCATTTTGGAAAGTACCTTCATCATTTGGTCAAAATGAATATCGTTTACCTAGCTTCAGTTCTTCAACTTGGCAAAATACAACAGGTAAGGAGCGTAGCATACAAATATTTTATCAAGATGAAGGCGAGAAAATTTAAGAAGATGCTGGGACTTTTATTTGTTTTTATTTCAAATCGGATAGTGTCATGAATTCAAAATTTTGTAATAGATAAAAATTAAAAACTATTTTATATAGGTCCACAGCCATTGATGCCACCGCCGAACCAATTTTTGGTAACACACTGTTGTATTTGTTCAGCATATCAATCGCATGCATGTGCTAATAAGTTTTAATTCATCTTTAAAAAAAGAAAAGAATAAAAGAATTTTTATTTACATCTGTACGCTTATACTAGATAAGTATCATCTTATTTTCTCTCTTGTAGATTTTGTCAATTGTTTCATCCTTTCATTATCGTTATTCATCAACTCTTTTCTTTCGTTTTTCTGCTTCTAATTTATTGATGAAGACGTACGATCTACGACCGAATCGTCCGAAAACACTAGATGGATTTTTCAGAAAAATGTACTTAGGACTACATCATGACGATGTATACGATAACATAAAACATAGAGGACCACCTAAAACTCGTTGGTTACGAGGAATAGCCGCACATCTTCAACAAGCTATAGTGCGAGCTACATTAGATGGGGCAAAAGGAGAAAAACGAACAGGAAAAATTCCATTATCTAACGCTGCAACAATAACGGCTCTAAAGAGCATTGGAATCGAAAATAAATGGGCACAATGTCCTGACCTTATTGAATTACTAGATTTAGAGACCACTTTTGTCAAAGGTGATTTTATCAAAAAGGCGAATCGACTTGAATTTAAACTAGTCCAAAAAAAAGCTCATTACTTCGATGGTCAAAATAAACCTCGAGAAACAGCAATAGCTTATTGTCTGTCTTTTCGCCTTCTTAAAGAAACTCCACAGCTACGTACTGTCATATAATTTTATAAATGAGAATAGTGTACATAATGTAAATAAGTAGAAAAAAAACATTAAAATCTTTTGATGACATCTCTTCCTTAGGGCCGAATGTCACGAAAGAAAAACAAAATTACTAGATAGATACGTCTCCTCTTTTACCTGTTTTCTTCTTCTTCTCTTCAATTACTTCTCGTCGAAACTAAAATGAAATCGACCGTGAAGGTCCTTCAAAACAATTAGTCAGGGTAAGAGAGAATGTTTCGTCATGCTATTATCTATTAGTTTTTGCTTTATTTGCTGTGCCTTTTGTTACTTTTATGTCTTTATTATTTGTCAGGACTCAGAAATGTGGTGATTTAGAATTTTTGCAAACACCGAACTGATCCTGACCCTTTTGTTTCATTCACATTTGATACAACTCAGTTGAATTTAGATTGTATTTATATGTCTAGTTCAGATTGAGTTTGTATCTTCTGAAGAATGCACTCAAGGGAAAGGATCAAATCGTCGATATAAATCGTTCAAAAAACAAATAATAAATATATCTAATTTTTTAATTTATGTTTTAGTATAAACAATTATCTATATTTCCATATAGTGCTAAAATAACTTTAAAATCAAGATTGATGATAATTTTCTTTTCTTTTTATTATTTCGACCAAAACTAATAAATATCATACAATCGTTTTGTTTATTTAGATAATCAAGTCTCATTCGAAAAAAAAAAATATGTTTTTTTCTTCATCACAACATGCCGACTCATCGTGAATCAAAATAATGTAAGTGAATTAAAATTCTTAAATCTTTTTTTCTCTTCATTATCAAAAGAACTTGAAAATTTTTGCTGAAAAACGAAGATCTATCCAATTCTCTTTAATTTTAATTTGTTATCTTTTTAGTTCTTATACGTGTGTTTGAACTGATCGTTTTCAATCCATTTACAGACATCTTATTTTCGATTATAGCAAGTGAACTCTACAAAAGAGAAAATCAAATATTCAATTCATTTTATATTATGTTAGAACATTTCAAATGCAAATGGTTATTACTGATTTTATGTTAGCTCCTCGTAAACAATCATTTTATAGTTCGTGTCGATTCGTTCAAAACTATACAAACGTTTTTGTATTATTATATTGTGTTTTATTTGTGATGTTTTTGTAAATGTTTTCATTGATTGATTCAAACATAACATAAAAGAGATTTACAAAACTATATAAGAATAAATGAATATAACAAAAAAAAATATATTGAAAGGTTATATTCAACCATCGATACGAACAATAATGGAATTTTTCAGGCAAAAGATTTAATTCTTTTTATATGAAAACAAATCGAATTTTATTAATTCATGCTCGTTTGAAAAAATCAAGTATTTATTAGTAACTATGTCTTTAGAAGAATAAGCTTAAAAACATACAATCAGCACTGTTTTTTATCAGCAAAAAGAAAAAAAAATGTTTTTAATGATGAAAAATGTTTCGTTTTCTTTCTAATTGTTTATACCGAACAGATTTGAATGTTTTATGAGACATTATGTCTCGATGAACACATGCAATGTTAGTCTTTGATGGCCTTCTAGCGAAATAACGATCATAATAATACCTCATAAAGACACAAGGAATAAGATAAAATTTATTTGAATGTCTCAAATAAAGATTTAATACATATATATTGATTTTGATAGAAATCACAAAAAGAGTACACTAGTGAATATTCATTTGAGAACAAAGAGATGACTTGAAAAGAGATGTTCTCCATGTTATTAATACAAAATTTCGAATATCAAATAATTGAGAGATCAACTTATACGGTTGAAAAGAAAAAGACATGACGATGCGCGTGCCAGACGTCATTGTTTCACATGACAACGACAGTCTAT